GTATCTGTGGTAGTCTTATTTAGACTGTGAGAGTGATGAGTTGCACACTGGTGGAGCCATAGTATCAGGTGATACAGGCACCACTCAGTACCACCCTGGTGACAAAATCAAGTGCACAGGGGCCATCTGACTCACAGGCATACCCTTCTTTCATGAACACTTGCTATAACACCATTGTTTCATTGGTAAAAGGCAGTATAGAAGAAAAACTTCTATTTTTTTTTTTTAATTTACTTTATGTGTATGAGTGTTTTGCCTGCATGTAAGTGCACCCATGTCATGCAGTGCCAACAGAGGTCAGAAGAGGGTATCAGATCCTCTGAAACTGGGGTTTCAAATGGTTGTTAGCCTCCATGTTGGTGCTGGGAACCAAACCCAGGTCTTCTGGAAGAGCAGCCAGTGCTCTAAACCACTGAGCCATCTCTGCAGCCCCAAGAGAAACTTTTAGAGACAGCCATAATAAGATTTTAGCCCTTCATGTGTACAAAAGAAAAGTATGTAGAAGTCTCTATGCCAAACATTTCTGGGTCTCATTAATCTGCTCTTTCTTCCCCAACAGAGTGCCTGGAAGAGTTAGGTTGCCTGATTGAGTCCTATGGCATGAATGTCTGCCAACCAACCCCAGGAAAAGCCTTAAAGGAGATAGCTATTCACATAGGAGACCGAGACAATGCTGTACGGAATGCCGCCCTCAACACTATTGTAACAGTATACAATGTACATGGAGATCAGGTGTTCAAACTCATTGGAAATGTGAGTGACATTTCTCTATGCATTGTCATTATGTTGTGGAAAGAACTCCAAGATTTCTTAGGTGTTGGGTTTCCTGCCATCTCAATTATACTTAGATTTTATCATTTGTTAGTATATACCTATTAGTATGTCCTAGAATCCAGCTAAATGTCATTTCATCTGTGTTTAACTGGAAATCAAATTTTGTTTTCTATTCACAATAGATCACTTAAGAGATCTAATTTGAATCAAGAAATCTGTACTTGTCTGGGTTTTAAATTCTTCATGGCCATCTGCTTGGTAGTTTTTAATACTTTTGGTTTTGTTAACAGGTAACCCCTTGGGAACTGTTGGGTACTGGTATATCCAAAGAATGTGAAGCTTCAGCCATGTACCGCTTTTCCAGGCATATTAGTTTTTGGGTTTTTTTGTTTTCTGGATTTTTTTTCGGGGGGTCTTTTTGAGACAGGGTCTCCATATAGCCCCAGCTGTCTTGGAACTCACTACGTAGACCAGGCTGGCCTTGAACTCACAAGAGACCCGCCTGCCTCTGGGAATAAAGGCATGCACCACCACACCCAGCTCCCAGGCATATTAGTTTTGCCTCTTGATTCCATGCGTCCTTTGTACCAGTCATTATTGTAGTTAGATCTCAGTTTTTGACTGCAGTAACCTTATAGTAACACCATTTTTAATTTTTTTATTGTTTTTTTTAATATTTTATTGTTTTATGTGTGGTTTTTGTTTTTGTTTTTATGTGTATGAGTGTTATGCCTTCATGTAGGTAAATGCACCCGTTTCATGCAATGCCCGAGGAGGACAGAAAAGGCTGTCAGATCCTCTGGAACTGGAGTTATGGACAGTTTTAGCTGCCATGTGGGTGCTGGGATTCCAACCTGGGTCTTCTGCAAGAACACTCAGTGTTCTTAACTGCTGAGCCATCTCTCCAGCCCCTTAAGTTTTTTTTTTTTTTTTAATGTGTGTGTATGAGTGTATTAACCTGCATGTGTGTAAGTGCACCCATGTCGTGCCATGCCCTGGGAGGTCAGAAGAGGGTGTTGGATCCCCTGGAACTGGAATTTCAGATGGTTGTTAGTTGGCATGTGTGTGCGGAGAACTGAATCAGGGTCCTCTGCAAGAGCATCTCTTCTGTGGTAGCACCGTTTTTATATACTGTGCTTAATTCATTCTATTTCTGTTATCTAATGAAATTCTATCACCCAGTGAAGGACATAAAACAGGTAGAAATTTTACAGAAAACCAAAAGTGGAAATTATTGCCATTCTTCCCATAGATACAGCTCATTAGTAGTAACAGGCTTCATTTAATTTTTGACTCTTTCGTTATTTAGTTATTTATTTTTTACTTTCCATTTTGAATCAGAGTCTTATATATCCCAGGTTGGCCTCAAACACACTATGCATCCAAGAATGACCTTGAACTTCTGATTTTTCTGCCTCTACCTCCTGAGTGCTGGAATTACTGGTGTTTACCACCATGCTCATTTTATGTGATGCTAGGAATCAAACCCAGGCTTTGTACATGCTGGACAAGCATTCTACCAACTGAGCAGTAACTCCAACTTTACTTTTTTAGCTTTTTAGCTGTAATTATTAATGTTTTCCTTTTGTATCCTTCTCTTTCATATGTCTTATTGTTAATATAGTTACACAGGAATTAATGGTAGTTGACTTAATAATGTGTTTTGAGGGCTGGTGAGATGGCTCAGTGGGTTAAATCGCTTGCCACCAAGTCTTACTACCTGAGTTTGATCCCAAGAACACAAGTAGTAAAAGTAGAGAACGAACTCCTGCAAGTTATCCTCTGACTTCCATATGATATCATGGTATGTATATATACACAAACACCCATGCAACAAATAAACAATGTAAAAAAAAAACTTAAAAAATTAATGTAGTGTTTGAAAGTAAATCTGTCCTAATATGATAACTTCTATTTTCTTTGGTATGAAAATAGATGTGTCTCTCTATCTGTGTGTGTGTGTGTGTGTGTGTGTGTGTGTTTTACTAGGGATTGAACCCAGGGCCTTACACATTCTAGGCAAGTACTCTACCACTTAGTTATAGTCCCAGCTCTTGTTTAAAAATGTATTTTAAAGTCATATGGTGGCCCGTACCTTCAACTCTAGCACTTAGGAAGCAGAGACAGGTGGATCTCCATAAGTTCAAGGCCATCCAGGATACATATACATAATACGACCTTGTCTTTCAAAAAAAATTTTAAGTCAAGGTCTTATGAAGTTGCCTAGGATGGCCTTGAACTTGCCATCCTTCTCCAGCCTCCTGAGTAGCTGGAATTACAGATACAATATTGAGCAGTGGATAATTCTTGAGTCTTCCATTTAGGTTTTTAATTCTCATATTTTAGTATAAATGGATGTGCTAATAGTTTAAATAATTAACAGCTTTCTGAGAAGGACATGAGCATGCTTGAGGAGAGGATAAAGCGGTCAGCAAAGAGGCCTTCTGCTGCACCAGTGAAGCAAGTGGAAGAGAAACCTCAGCGCACACAGAACATAAACTCCAATGCCAACATGCTACGCAAGGGACCAGCTGAGGACATGTCCTCCAAACTCAAGTATGTGAATGGAGATAGTTGTCTTTGTGCATATCTATGAACCTAGCTTTGTGCGCTCAGAGTGTGTCCTGCAACATAATCTTGAGTTCTTGCCATTATCATGCATGACAGAGTGTCTGGGGAAATGTCTTGTGACCAAATGTTTAATCTTTCATTCTTCATTGTCTTTGTCTCCAAACCACTTCTAAATGGTCTTGTGCCTTCTTTCACTGCTTTTCCGTGGACAGAATTATGTATCGCACTTATAGGATGTAAGTACTGCCTGCTAATTTCTCATTAGCAGGGCTCTTATATCTTTCTAACTTCTGACATGGATTCATCCCCTCTGGAGGGTGACTGGCTTTTAAAACAAGGGCAGAGGGCAGCCATGAATATCAGGACTTCCGTGAAAGTGTAGTGGCCAACAGAAATGGCAGTTCAATGTCATGTGGCTTAAATAATGACTTGTCTTTTTTTCTGTTATATATGGCTGTGCTTAGGTTCCTGTTCTTGAGATAAGGCTAAATAAGATGCATGCTACCCAGAATTGGCTTAGGGACTCAAAATACTGCCTTCTAAGCATGACAGCCTTATTTTAGGTTGTGCCATGAGTATAATTTTAACAAATTTGAATTTGGAAATTTTGCATACCTATTTCTGAGATATAATACTGGCTCTGTTCTGTCAAGATTGACTGTTCTTTAAAAAGGGATGACTGTATAGGATGTTTATGATTAGAACTTAAAATACTAATTAATTTCATGGAAGAAAAAATAGCTGGTCTAGATTATTTTTAGTACTTTTGCCCATAAGTAGTAAGTTTTAAGTCAGTCTCTTTCCTGCTCCATATAGAAGTACAAAGCCTGTTAGCTTTATCAAATCAGAGATAATGCTTATGCCTAGCTAGTAGTGTTAAGTACAAATTAAAGTTACCTGCTCTCAGCATAATCCTGTTACTTCAGGCACTTTCTTAAACTCAAGGACTTAAATTATTCAGAGGGGCTGAAACCAGAAGTTGAACATCTGTCTTAAAGCTTTAGGGTAGCTGGCAGTGCTAATCTTGCTCTTTGGTTAAGAAATCCCTCTTAATTCAGGAGCATCTTTTTGCTTCCCTTAGCCAAGCCCGAAGCATGAGTGGGCATCCTGAAGCATCCCAGATGGTTCGCCGAGAATTCCAGCTGGATCTAGATGAGATTGAGAATGACAATGGTACAGTCCGATGTGAAATGCCAGAACTTGTCCAGCATAAACTTGATGACATTTTTGAACCTGTCCTGATTCCTGAACCTAAGTAAGTTCAACCTTGTGATTTAAATATAAGCAGTTCATAACCATCAGAGTACATACCTGAAAAGAGCCCACTATGGCAGTATGCAGTGTACAGAATTTATTATTACCTGACTGATAATAAATAGCTTTACTAAAATCTGAATCAAGTAGAGAACTGCATAATTAATAGTCATTGAAATATCTTGTAATACAGATTGATTTTTTTTTCCCCCTTTTGTTCTGCTGTCTAGGATCCGGGCGGTTTCACCACACTTTGATGACATGCACAGTAATACAGCTTCCACAATCAATTTCATTATCTCCCAAGTTGCCAGTGGTGACATCAGCACAAGTATCCAAGCTCTGACACAGGTAATCGGGTATTTCCCATGATAGTAATTCCATTGATAGATATAGAGACTTAGAAGAATGATGTATTGCACACTGTGGAGTCACAGTACTGAAGGATGCAGACATCTTCAGTATTGCCTTAATTTTTTAAAAAAAAGTACACAGGGGCCAGCCACTTAGTCATCACTTGCTTCAGAGAATATAGCTCTATTAGAGCCTTGCCTTTTTATAATTCTGTATGTCCATTCATCACAGGCTAGCGAGAGATACAACAGTAAATAAGTAGAGACCAACTCTCATGGAACTTATTTATATTCTAGTGGACAGAGACAAGTAAGTAAACAACATACCTGCTTGTAAACAAGTGACAAGAAGATAATGTGTACATGTAACTCAGATAGAGTGATGGGAAAGAGGAGCTGCATAGCTTCTGAATTTGAATAATCATGAAAAGTCAATAACAGAATGTGCCAGTTGGGGATAAGAACATTCCAAATAAAGGGAATGAGATTTTCATATTCAGGGAAAGAGTGAAAGGTGCGCAAGGATGAGAACGTGTAAAACATTATGTAGGGCAGGGCTGGAAAGATGACTCGGCAGTTAAGAGCACTGACTGCTCTTGCAGAGGACCTGGGTTCAATTCCCAACACCCACATGATGGCTATGAACCATCCTTAACTCTAGTTCCAGAGGAATCCGAAACCCTCTTCTGACCTCTGTGACATTGCACGACATAGGTGCACTCACATATATGCAGGCAATACGCTCACACACATAAAATAAAAATAATAAAATATTTAAAAATAAATAAAACATTATGTAGGGCTTTCTTGAAAAGCACAGCGTAAGTTGTTTAGATTTTAGGTATGATGGGAAGCCATTTGAGGTTTTTTGTTTGTTTGTTATCTCTTTGAGACAGGGTCTCCCTGTAGCCCCAGCTGTCCTGGAACTCACTATGTAGACCTGGCTGGCCTCAAACTCACAAAGATCCACCTGCCTCTGCCTCCCAAGTGCTGGGATTAAAGGCGTGTGCCACCAGGCCCAGCCTCCATTTGAGAATTTTAAACAAAAAAGCTGCAAAGGTATTTTGTTTGTTTTGGTTTCTTTTGGAAGTGCTGGACATGGAACTCAGGCCTTGTACATAATAGGTAAGCACTCATTCAGTGAGCTACACCTCCAACACAGCTATATATATTTTTAAAAATCAGTTTCTGTTTCTTTCCCTAACAGTCCAGTTTTAAAATTTGTAGGTGGGGAAAAGATAAGTATGTATCCATCATGGTGGCTCAATGTCAGGGTCTAAGAGCCCAAGAATTATGAGGGAGGTGTCCATACAAGAACATTGACACATACTTGGAAGTAAGTTCCCAAGCATAGTGAAGGCAGGGGGCCAGCCTGTCATAGCGAGAAAATTAGGAGGTGGCATGCAGAATGGCTCAGAATGGAGAATCAGAGCCAAAGCAGAGAAAATTGACATCAAAATAGGGAAGGGCTGGTGGCAGCAATAGGAGATTGATTATATGTAGCAGAGTGATTAAATAAATATAAGGAAAATGGGAACCACATTTCTTACTATTAGAGAAGGGAATTACAGATAAAATGAACTCTGAGATTGGAGTAGAATTAGATCTAGCAGTATGAACCCCTGATGACACCCTGAATCTATACTCTTTTAGGCTGACTTCCCAAAGCCATCAAGAGACTTCCCTGGTTATCAAGGCAAATCATGCATATTGGGGATACCTTTACTCCTCCTTTAACTTGCATCTAAACATCCACTAAGTTCTTTTATTTGTACCATTCCTTTGAACAAAAAGACCCCCCCCATTTAAAAAATGAAACCCTCAGCAGCAGTGATATTAATAAAATAAATAACCAACCAGGTGTAATGGCACACATCTTTAATCCCAGGACTCCGGAGGCAGAGGACTCTGTGAGCTGGAAGCCAGCCTGGTCGACATACTGAGTTCCAGACCAGCTGTTGCAACAGGGAGACTCTGTCTCCCCCACCCCCCCAAAAAAATTTTTTTTAATTAATTTAAAAAACAGTATATATACAAGACCTTTACATAAAGAATTGTATATTGCTAGCCAGGCGTGGTAGTGCATGCCTTTAATCCCAGCACTTGGGAGGCAGAGGCAGGTGGATCTCTGTGAGTTCCAGGCCAGCCTGGTCTACATAGTGAGTTCCAGGTCAGCTGGGGCTACAGGGAGACCCTGTCTTAAAAACACCAAAAAAAAAAAAAAGAATTGTATATTGCTAGTGAATGACATTAAATAGTTAATACTGTGTTTATATGACTTGATTAGAATGATGTCAGTTCTCTAGTTCATAAATGCAATGTATTTCTAACCATAGTATCACAAGCCTTTTCTAAAATTTGAGAAACTGTTCCTAAAA